TCAAATCATAGGCAACGGTCAATATAAATTAAGCTTCTTTAAAACACAAAACATTGGATTTAGAGTATTTACAGTTAATGGAAATAATTTATTTTTAGTGAGTTCAAAATAATATTATTTTGGATTTGAGAAAAATGTACTTTTGTAATTTTAATTTATTTTAAGAACATATTAATTTTTATCATTTTATTTTTTAATATTTTAATTTTAAAATAATATTATTTTGAGTTGAGTGAAAATAATTTTATTTCCGATCAACAAAAAAAGCTTTCCCCAAAAACATTTAACATAAATGGTAATGGGTCTCCTACAAAGATAAATGACCCAAGTTAAAATCAAAATCCTAATTCCCCGTATCTAAATTAGAAAATTTAATTATGACTATCAATGCCGAAAAAGAATAAGAAGTTCTTTAACTTCAATAAAAATAAAAGGGAGCTTTAACGGCCACCAACTTTCGTACATTATTTAGAATGTCACATGAATCATGTGGCGATAACTTATTATCATAACGAATAAATCATGAATGGAAATGTTAACAGGTTAGTTTCTCAAGTAATAATCGAACTTCCCTAGTAAATATTAAATGTAACATACTCTGCTCTTTGAATGGTATAACTTTTTTCTACCAAATAAAAGAAAAAATGTTTACTCGCAACCCCATATAAAGGGATCAAGATTGATTCATCTCTCGCGGCCATTAACCTTAACCATGGGTTAGCCTCATTTATTTATTTTGTTATTATCCCATGAGGTATCTCTGCAATTTTAATCAATTTTAACCGTTGGGCTGTTTGATCTACGGATTTTTTTTTGATTTTCGAGAAACTGAATTTTTTTAAATTTTAATCTAATGGCTCTCAGATGAGGTGTCAAACTTTTTTTTTGACACCGATGTCAAATGAAAAGTTTGACACCTCATCTAAGAGCCGTTAGATTAAAAAAAATCAATGGTGTCACATGCTTACAAATCAGAATCGTTGATTTTTTTTAATCTAATGGCTCTCAGATGAGGTGTCAAACTTTTTTTTTGACACCGGTGTCAAAGGATCCTGTCTCATTAAGAGGCAGGAGCATTTGACACCGATGTCAAAGGAAAAGTTTGACACCTCATCTAAGAGCCGTTAGATTAAAAAAAATCAATGGTGTCACATGCTTACAAATCAGAATCGTTGATTTTTTTTAATCTAATGGCTCTCAGATGAGGTGTCAAACTTTTTTTTTGACACCGGTGTCAAAGGATCCTGTCTCATTAAGAGGCAGGATCATTTGACACCGATGTCAAAGGAAAAGTTTGACACCTCATCTAAGAGCCGTTAGATTAAAAAAAATCAATGGTGTCACATGCTTACAAATCAGAATCGTTGATTTTTTTTAATCTAATGGCTCTCAGATGAGGTGTCAAACTTTTTTTTTGACACCGGTGTCAAAGGATCCTGTCTCATTAAGAGGCAGGATCATTTGACACCGATGTCAAAGGAAAAGTTTGACACCTCATCTAAGAGCCGTTAGATTAAAAAAAAATCAATGGTGTCACATGCTTACAAATCAGAATCGTTGATTTTTTTTAATCTAATGGCTCTCAGATGAGGTGTCAAACTTTTTTTTTGACACCGGTGTCAAAGGATCCTGTCTCTTATCTTATCATAAACTGGATGTAAAAATTATATTTTAAATATCGAGATTTCTGAACAAATAAAAATTTCTCCGGTATCAAACCCCCGTAAATGTCATTCATTCTTATTTCGTGGCGCAAGCACGAAGGTTATGCAATCTTTTCATCAGAATTATTTATCCGATTTTTTCGTTTAAAGTATTCCAAGATTGCTGACGACATCGACCTAATCATTTGTCAGTGTCTCCTCTGTTTTTTTTTTGGTAGAAATCTCCTCTGTTTTTTAGTATACATTATATTTAACAGTAAACTTTTTAAAAACAATTGTTTTTACATTAATACGTGAATAAAAAGGTCATTTACCGATCAAGATATTTATTTCCAGTTTTTAATTTCACTGATTAATTTTAAATTACTACCTCATACTTCTAATTGTTTCAATTAATTCCCTTATACTTTGTAATGGTAACAACTTAACACATCTGTTAAAATTTTAACTAAGGCGTAAATCCCCCAAATACCTAATTTTATTTTCCTTCTCAAATTTGTATTCCAATGTTGAAAGTAGTAAATTGTATTTTAGCCTTTGTACTAATATATATATATATATATATATATATATATATATGTGGGGTAAACATTTCTGCGGCCACTTTAGATAAATTTATCTACAGCTACTCTTTATAACTATATTTTCCCGGAAGAACATAGTTATAACACTAAAGTTGTTTTTTTTTTCTCTCCTCATTTATTTTCAGAACCTGTCTGCTGACGTGAAGAGAGAAAAAAAAATAATTTTAGTATTATAACTATGTTCTCCCGAGAGAACATAGTTATATATTGTATTTTAGCCTAAATATTATGGAGTTTCCCCTAGGTATTGTGAAGTGCTGCATGCGGTAATATTTTGATTTTTCATCCTCGGAAGAAGCCATAACCTATATAACGTGTTTGGAGTAAGCAATTGTTGAGGGATTTAGTTGTTAATACCGTTAGTCAAAATTGTAACAGATATGTTAATTTATTGTCATCACAAAGTAAAATAAGATTAATTGAAACAATTGAAACAATAAGGTGGTAATTTAAAACATGACAAAAGTTGGAAGAGGGAATTGTATTTTAATCTTTTTATTATCATTTGTGTGAGCTTATTGTTTTAAGAAATCTAATAACCTTCCTAATAACATATACCATGTTCATATGGTGAAATATTCTTTTTGAAAACATTATAGTTGGAATATAAGTAATTATAATCTAACCAAAAAGTTATTCACAACAAGAAAACTATTGAAATTTAGCATGAATCAGAAAAACCATGTAATTTAATTTGATAGATAAAGGCACAAATAATTGTCTGAATATAATAATAGTCATATGATGTAGAAATCATCTTGCCAGTAATTTCGTGTTAAATAAAACATGACATGGTTATGTGTAAGAATCATAATCATATAAAAGTGGATTAATAATAATAAGAGAAGAAATAAAAATAATAATGAAATAAGTAGTTACATAATCACCACCATTAATTCATCTTTGTATGTTATGATTATTCCTCGTGATCACATCATGTTTTATTTAACATTAGAAAAGAGCTAGGATATTCTTATTACCTATTTTTTTTACTACCACTTCACTACTACTTTAATTACCATTAGATTAGAGTAAAAATTGAATGAAGAGAGGAAAAAAACAATTTTTGAATCCAATGGTGATTAAAGTGGTAGTAGAAAAAATAGTAGTAAAAATATTCTACCTCATTAGAAAATTCATTTCCAGATCAAAATCGAACATTGATGAATGCATTTGTCCATTATTCGATTTTATGTAAGTACGTAACCCGTTTGGTGATATATATCAATTTAAATAAAAAGAGAGTGTACTCTTTGTTTAATAATTTGAGTTTTTTTTTTTTTGAAAAAATAAAATATTTTTAAATACACTAGAATCAGCGTAAAATAACTTATTTGAACTTATTCACTATAAAGAAAAAACAAAAACTAAATCATAATATTAAAAGCAAATTATGGTAATTTAGTCGGTGCATTAAAACTGAGTAGAAGGTGAAAGTATTTTAGTTCGATCCCCACCAATATCATCTTTAGGAGCATCATAAAATCTTAATTATGAAATCACTCTGTACTCAGGATTAGTCCCATAACTTGTGACCTTGTGGGTATACCAGAGAAACTTACATGTCTCAAAAACAAAATATGATTGATATAAAAAATAAAATCACAATACTAAAAAACCAAAGAAAATAAAAGAAAACAGGTCTATACATTAACATATTACTAATTAAGAAATTTGGTTAATTTTTTTCCTTTTTTTTTGTATAGCAATTTTTTTTTTCCTTTTAAATGTAGATACGAATCAATTTCTGAAACAGCAAACAATGTTGCACCAACACTAACATGGAATACGGGATCATGACACTTCGACATGTTAATTCTAAAAATTGTTAGATTTTGATATGTTAGGACACTTTTTGATATTAAATAATATTTGTAATTTATATAGTGTATATTATATTTAATATTCAATAATTTAATAAAAAAATAAAACTAAACTTATAATATCCATCAATTTTGCAAAGAAATATAAGATATGATAAATATTTATATTAAACTTAATAAAATGTTAATCGTAATCTAACATTCTAATTATTAGAACTAAAAATGCAATGCAATACAATCTTCAAATCTTTTTTTGAGTCTCTGTAATGTTTGTTAAAGTGTCGAAGAGTGACAGAGTATCAAACACGACACATCAAATTTTTTAAAGTATCGATACTATTGAAAATTGACACACACACAAATCTAAAAAAACAAAAAGAGAAAGAAAAGAAAGAAATTGACATAATAATTTACTCTAATTCATTCAATATAAACTACCTTCAATTTATCTATGGGCTTATGTTTTCTTCTGCAGCAGGAATTGAGATTTTTTTCCTGCACTCACAGCAACAGTGCCCATTTGTTTTTTTCTTTTTGTTTTTTTAATTATAAAGTGGGCTCCACATAAAAAATTGTCTCACTCACATAAGATAAGATATTTCCAGCAAAATAAGATAACTATTTCCCTTTATCTATTCATGTGCAAAATATAAGCCCTACCCAATGCAGATCAAAACACTGGCTTGCAATGCCAGATTGCTACTTTGATAAGCACAATCAATCACTGACCACTTGGCAACATATAATAGCACAAATGTTTACGTAAGCAGAGTATTTCAGCAGTAAATATAATCTTAACAAAAAAGTATATCTCTATAAAACCGACTATTTCACTGAACTTCACTTTCACAATCATCAATATTTTTTTTCACTCCATCATCTGTCAGAGTAACAACAGTGAAATTTTATTATGAAAAAAAAAAACCCATCAACCTCAATAAAATGTTTCCTTATTTACAATAACGTCACGTGGTAAAAATTTATTTGGCATTCACATTTTCTGTTTCTACTCCTAGTAAACAAGGGAAGCCACCAAAGACTAAGCAGAGTTGAATACAATCGAAGTTGCTAAGGTTGTAAGCAATGTGTGAGAATATAGTATATATTACAGTAAAAGGAACTGACCCATGGACCAGTAACTGCAAAAAATAGCGAAACACTCATTGATGATAGTTGTTACTCCCACATGTTGGGAACTTAAGAGCATATACGGTAGTGCCAAAAGTGGGGTAGCAAAATTCAATCCCAAATGGGAAGAATCTCACACTCATTATCTGCAATAAAACTCTGATTTCCAAATAACTCATCAGAAAAAGTAGCACAGAACTCGATTGGAGGATACACCCAACTATAACTATCCACCGAGTCAGGCAACATGAACTCGGTTCTCGAGTCAACCGAGTCGAAACTCTCTTCAATGTTTGGAAGCTCAACTATCTCACTCAGCTCTGAGGACTCTGTCTCCGACACTTCTGAATTCTGCACTACAGGGTCGAATTCAACCATGGCTGCTGCTGACGTGGCTGCGGCTTGGATGTCACGTGGGGAGCACGTGACGGGTCTGGGAAGCATGTCAGCGATTTCTGGGAAGTTGAGAATCGCTGTGTTACCCTTAATGGTGATAGCTGCAACGTCGTGGGCTCTAGCTGCCATTTCTGGAGTTGCGAAGGTACCAAGCCAGATGCGTGATTTCTTGCGTGGCTCGCGAATTTCAGAGACCCATTTGCCCCAATTGCGCTTTCGTACACCGTGGTAAACCGGGTGCTTGCTACAGTCTCTGGGTCTTTTGGGTTTTTTTGGGGTCTCTGTTTTGGGAGAGTCTGAGAGAGTGTTGTTGATGAGGGAATGTGATAAGGGTGAGGGTGGTGATGACGTGGAGGTGTTGCTGCTTGTGCTTGTGCTTGTGCTAGCTGTTTCTGATGAGGTTGTTGTTAATGTCATTGTAAATTAAAGATTCAGAATGTTGTTTCTGGAACAGAATGTAAGAGAAGCAGAGGAAAAAAAGTGGTTAAGAGACAAGGGAAGAGGAATGAGAAAAAACACAACCATATGGGTACCCTTTTTGTAGTGAAGGATACGCTCTCAAATAGCGACCCTTGACCTACCAATAATACATGTTTCTCAAACTCGCACATTGTTTAAGTTTTCAACTTTTAATCTTTGATAAAACTAACAAGGTAAAAAATTTATTCCGTGGGAAGGAAAACAACCGTTTTAATAATTTTTTATTTTTAAAAACAATCGAAGTAATTCAATCTTCAAATATATTATCATCGTGATACAATGAGTCTGTTACAGCTAATAGTCTCGCAGGGTTAATATAGGATTAATTTGTTAAGCGAATTGACTACATTAATTTGATATATGTTTTCATAACTGAATTAATTAAATTGTTAATTTTTTTAATCAGCATTAAAAGCACCAATCGCCCCCTTCCACGGACACAGCCTCACCAAATGTGAGTATATTCATGAAATTGGATATTCTTTTGTTCTTGAATAAAATAAGGATTCATTTTTTCTTCCCAAAATTATTTTAGACAATTTTATCTAATATTTACCGAAATTACATTATTTTGGAGCAAAAATCATGATATATTTATAATTTTAATTTATTTCAGAATTATAATAGTCTTTATTATTCTAGTTTTTTAATTTTTCAACTTTAAAATAATATTAATTCGGTGAACATTAAACAAAATTATCTATAGTAATATTATATAATTTTTCCCATAAAAGAATATGGTTCTGTGAGAGAAAAAATTATATTTTTATTAAGTAAGAACTCACAGGATTGATTATGGTATTTATTACTCATATTCAAAAAATCTATATCTTTTTTATTTTGTCATATTACTCAACAAGAAAGAGAGGATCCATATATATATATATATATATATATATATATATATATATATATATATATGAGGTAAGATTCTTTGATACTAATGTCAAATTTTAAATTTGACACTTCATTTGAGAGCCGTTAGATCAAAAAAGATCAACGACTCTGATTTGTAAGCATGTGATACCATTGATCTTTTTTTATCTAATGACTCTCAGATTCGGTGTCAAAGGTTCTACCTCTATCTATCTATCTATATATATATATATATATATATATATATATGGGTTTTATAATTCTCATTTAACATGAGAATTTAAATTTTCCTACACACCTTTCGATTTTCGTGTCAACGTGGGTTCTACATATAATTTTTTTCTAACATACGGATCCCACATTTTTTTTTGTCTCAACAACATGAGAATTTAATTCTCATGTTGAATGAGAAATACAAAACCATATATATATATATATATATATATTCGGAGAGGAGACAGATCTTGACTGTTATTTTTGCACTTCTAAAAAAAATAAAATTGCACACGTATTTTGAACATATTTATTGTACTACTAATTCATTTAAGCAAAGAAAGAGTGAGGATATTGAAAAGTATATTTCTCTCATTATGACGGGTACTAGTTTATGTAGGGGTGAAGTGTGTGGGATGGATTGGAGGAAAGAGTCATTAGTGGTACAGAAGGCCCCACATAAATATTGTTGTAGCAACGTTCGTTATAACATTTCTGGCCAAGCCTCATAAGTCCACTTCTGCCCTTTCCATGTGTCCGTTGCCGTTGGGATCAAATTGGCTGTTGTTTTGTCCAAACCCCATTCCTCACTCATTGAAGAAATTCACATCCAATTGGTGTTCTCCACCTTTTACATTCAAGACAAAGTCTAATCTCATCCCCCCCTCCCCTTATTTTTATTTTCTTGCATTAATTTAAGGACATTGACTTGGGATGAAAATGAAGGAATTAGAATCATAACATCTTTTTTTTTTTAGAAAAGAGGTGACAAAATATCCACCATAGGCCACACTAGGATTTGGTCTATCTAAGGCACCAGTAGTGTCCTAATCATCCTTTCTAATAAAAAAGGAAGAAACATCTCTACCATATGCATGGCTTTGTAAAGTTGGGAAAAATTTTTAAGCAGGGACATTCGGCTAATAAAAGTGCATCACATCAGCTTATATTGTACAAAGAGAAAAAGAAGTTATTTTTATACTTTACATGATAAGACATAATATAAAATACCTCTCAACTCAATTTTCAATACCATCATCGTATCCAAAAATTATTCGTACACCAACTCAAAAGCAGTTTCATAGGATTGCAGTGCTATACGAATAAATTTTTAATATTCTCGTTGTATGTACATAGCACCAATGAAAGTGTGACACATCAGTCGATAAATTTCTGAAGGGAGATCTTTTTTAAGAGATATGATATACTACCATTTTTTTTAGTATCAATCTACTACATATCACTCTAATTAATGTTAAATCAAACCTTAAGCAACTTTTCTTTTTCTACTTTTCGCTTAAAAGTTTGTTCAATGATGATTAGAGTGATAGTGAATTAATAGTTAAAAAAATGATAATATAAATATCTTATTTCTTATAACTATATATTTTTCAAAATACAAATAAAATTTTAGCGCATGTACTGAAGTTTAGTACATCGATAATTTATTTATCCTAGAATATATAGACAAATCTTGAAATTCTAAAAATTTATATAAGATCTGCTTATATATTTTAAGTGCCTATATATTTTAAGATAAATGAACTCTACATCGATAATTTTTGCGCAGAATATATAATTATAATATTATCGTCACTCTCAGTGCTAACGATATTACTGAAGATTTGTTCGTGCTCTACGGGTTTTGGAGCATAGTTCTTGCAACAGATTATTAGATGTGACACTTAAAAATAGACAGTAATTTAAATATTCTTACCATGGAGGCTGAACAAAAAATTAATAATCATTTCAGCACAACCAGTTGGAGAATTTAACGATTATCTACATGTAAGCAATAGAACGTGCAATTTCCACCGTAGTAAACTGTATTGAGGTAGGACCACTGACACAAACTGTACTATTTTCTTTTGGAGGTTACAGCAAAACAAACAAACTGTACTGTTGAAATAAAGTCACCTCACCTTTCGCAGTTCTAATTGGATCGAAGAATTAAAGTCTAATTTTGTTGATGATGGCTAGCTACCATAAACCCCCATTAATATATTGTTTTCAATATGGACCATAGTATGAAAAAAATAATACCCTGGTTCCATTGTCATTCACGTTTGTCTTACATACAGATAATCATTCTAACGCATCGATAACACAAAAGAAATAGGACAAAACATGGGATATATATAGAAATGAAGTTGGCCAAGCGTAAATTTTAATTTGTGTTTGATCTTGCACGTTTATTTCTTGAAAAAATAATGGATCTGGTTACCTAAGAAGTCTTTTTTTAATTACTGATTACAGTTGGTTTTCATGTGTTTATTAGTATATTACTTTATTGTAAATCTAAAGAATTCATAGGTGCAAGCCCTTTTATTTTGCTGAATTCACATGCCCTTTTAAAAAATTAATCCACTTGTTTCTTCATCACATGGTCATTAAACTTGAGTTAGTACTTGGTTAACTTAAATTGTGGATGTGGATATTCTTGCGGTCTTTAAATACACAGTGACATTAAACTTAGTCTTATATCTATCACACGTCACGTGAACTGATCATCAAGTTGTTTATGTACTACATTATATTTGAAGTTTACTGGTGAGGGAAGTGATCTTCTGTTTAACTTCAATCTTTTATTATTGACAAATGAAATCATAAGTAAATACAAAATTGGTGTGGTTTTTCCTTTTTCTTCGTCAGTATTTTACCGAGACACGTCCGGAGGTAAATATGATCAAAAATAATTTAAATGTTAGTTTTTTGTATTTTTATAAAGCTTAGGTTATATTTTTCTGGGTAATTAATATGTCAATCAAAATCAATTTAAATGTACTCATAAAGAGCAGATCAAAAAACAAGTAAACTTATAAAACTCAATGATTGAAGCTAGCTAGGTTCTTTATATTATTATAAAATAAGCTCCCGAGAACGTATTCCAAGAGAAGAATTACATTAATATGTAAGAATTAGTTACATCATAAAATAAAATAAAATATTTTAAACGCAGGTGAAGCATTCCATTATATCAGTTTATATTATTGTCAATTAACACCAAGTCCTTTTCGAAAGATTTTATGGGTGCTTGTCCAACCTCATTGACCTTATGCATTTATAAAAATTAATTAATTTTCGTTAGTATCAACTCAGGGTTCAAACTTTTTTGAGTCATTAAGAAAGACAAAAAAACCTTTATCTCTATATATACTAGCTAGTCCTTGGATCATTTCCATCTTTTGTAGACGAAGCATATACTTCAAGAAGGATATGCGAACCTAATCATATATAGAAGAAAAAAAAATCGGAAGATATTGATGTTCTTATAGCACGATCAGTTCAAAAGAATTTCGCTGATTAACATTTAACATTAATGCCCTTATAAGAGGGTACCAGCAGAGCTCTAGCTAGCTGGATATTGCTCGAATTTGCAATAACCTCTGTAATAGTCCTACATATATGTCGTCCTACCCATTAAAGTGATCATGGCCACCGTGCAAACAACTTTATATTAATTCATTATCTTTTGTCTTGTATACATGTGAAGAACCTGTTATTGAAGACAGTGGGTGATATTATATCACTAAAAGATTTGAACTCATGTATAGAACCAGAGGAGGTAGATGATCAGAATTATCACTGTGCAATTATAAATATTAAAATTAAAGAACTGACTTACTTGAAATCAGATGATGATGCAAGCAGAATGATAGAACAGATAGAATGATATGTCAGAAGTAGATGAATTAAATCCGAGCCCACATAACGTGTCTCCTTAAGACAATTTGCCCCCTCACTGATGCCTAAGGTTGATGGACACTTGTCTCCCAGGATAGAACGGATTACGTCTGAAGAATAGTGGCACTACCAATCAACAGCCCAAACGAACACAACAATTGCCAGAGGAAATCACACCGGAGGATGAACAACAGTATGCAAAACCGGAAGGAGA